TGTGTGTGTGTGTGTGTGTGTGTGTGTGTGTGTGCGTGCGTGTGCACACAGATGAGCCAGAATTGTTATGGGGGCTGTTTTTTGTACGTAAATGATGTTGCACCATCTTGTCTCTCCCTGAGGGATAATTGGTGCTTTGTTAGGATGTGATCAATAAGTGAAGGAGGGAATGACGCCTTACCTGAAAAAACAAGAAAAAGAACAAGGGAGTGTGAATGAAAAGTACTGGGCGAGATTTTGGCATTGTGCATCCATGCAGGATATATCAACTTCCCTTATAAGGGTGTAGGAAGTAGGGAGGGGGTTTGGAAAGGCACAGAACGGAATTTACTGCTGTGATGAAGCAACAAGTTGAATTTGACCTGTTAAAGTATTGCAGGTCAGATTTACACAAAATTGAATTTTTTTGCACCTGCATGCAAGTAAAAGTTAACTAGAATTATTATTTTGGAAATACTGAGTTAGAGTCTGAGCAAACCGTTCAGCTGTGTAGATACATGATGTGTCACTGGAGAAATCGTCATAAAAGGATCTTGGTTCCATTGAATGTTACTCACATGTGTTGTGGATATAAATAAGGCCAAAGTAATAAACACATTAACAAACTGATTTAAAACACTGCACGACTTTTACTCTTCGTGTTAAAGGGCTTAGCAAGCTAGCATTATCTTTTGGTGGTGGGTCAGTTTTTATACAGCAGTTACACCTGACAGTTACCATGGATGTGTGTTGCCCTTGAAATATAATGAATGAAATAATGAGCTGCTGCCAAGAGTCACACAAATCAACCAACATAGCACCAACATTACATGTTTTGTTTAATTTGTTTCCATGTTCTTAATGTGACATTTTTAGAATATCTGGGATGTACGAGTGAATGGCTGGAACATTATCACAGACCTGTGGGTCAACAGGATACCTTATTGTGTCAAGGATTAAAAGGAACATATCTGAAATACAGATATATTTTAAAAAATCCATATTATTGAAATATTCATTTGGCCCCTTTGAAAAGATCAATAAAGTAGAATTTTGTGCAAAAACAAAACGAGTAAATGAATGTGCACCAACAGTCAATTACAGGGATACAAAGACGATGATAATAAATCAAGCACCTGGTTTAACTTTTGATAATACACCTCAAAAATGTCAAAACCCCTCAAATGTATTGGTCAGCTGTCTCTCTCTCTCTGCCTTTCCTTACCTTAACCTAAACCTAATTCTAACCAAGTCTTCTCCCTCAAACAGCCCTTTGAAGGAGTGAGGACCAGCCAAAATTTCCTCAGTTTCCAAAAATGTCCTCACTCTGTTGGGTCTATGCTTAAAATTGTGCTCATAAAGGCATAAGTACAGGGACACACACACGCACATAGACCACCAGGTATGTGGTGCAACTTTGATTTGCTGTAACATGTCCTCCCTCCCCCTCATTCTTATCTTGAAGAATGATCCTGCCTGATCCTCTCCAGCCTCTCTTCATTGTCACAGTTCAGCTATCACTCACACAACACACTGCAGAACACATAGATGAAGATTAGGAATACTATTGTAAACATTGTTACCTCACCACCATGTTGCACTTTCTGGAGTAGAGATATATCTTGTTTTTGATGCAGAGCTTCAAGACCAGTGTCAGATACAGGGAACCCGCACTTGGCTATTCATACTTGAAGATGTTTCATGCTGAGGTCATTGTGGAGTGAGCTTAGTCCTGGAAAATGCACACGTGATCTCATCTGCCCTAAAATAAGGCCACTGGTGCTTCCAAAAGCCTCTGTTGAAAAATGTGGCATGAAAAATGAAAGATCTTAAAGTAGTAGTAGTGTGGATGCAGCCTATGTCCCCAAACTCAATACTATTAGTTATGAGGTGAAACATCTCGATTCATGTTTTCTTGGATAACCATGATCGTGATAGATGTTGCAATGATCATAGCAGACTCAACAGCACTAAAAGAAAGAAATGTTTACATTTAAATAAGACAATAAACATATTAATATAATTCTAACATATTTAAAGACTCATATCTTCTCATATATCCTTAGAAAACCAAAGAACAATTGTCTACTAGTAATTAAAAACATGTTTTGATGGTAGAAAATGAAAAAGAAGCTAAAGAACTAATTACAAGTTATGAGCTTAAAGTTAAACTTGATTAACTGGTACATAGAGGACAATACTTACTCATTAGATAAGAGGGCTTTAGGTGATTCAATGCCACCGCTCCTTTCCCCTGAAGGCTCATGTTATATTTAATTTTAAATACAGTAAGGTTTTCTGACATCAGCAGTAGTGGGCTTTGCTTTTGAGTAGACACGCCTCATAAAACCCTGTAGAAAATGTCATTGTTTGTCAGGATAGCTCACTGTCAGCTGTTTTCCGACTGTTGGCAGCCTGTTGCTTCAGTAAGTAATTCTAATTGAGAACTTTCGTTGTATTATCTCCAGATTATCCCCAGTGAATGGTTGAATTTTGTCCTTTTTTTTACTGCTTTAAACACCAGGTATGAAATTGAATCCACCCACATTGTTTCACCGACACTTCTCAAAACCTCGACTCCGAAAGCCAAAGACTTCTCTCGAGTGGAGGGAGAAAATATTTTTTGTTTTAAATGAGTCGGCCAAGCTAAATAAAAGTCTTGTTTCCAATCAGGAGATGCCACAGTGACCATTGTCCACAGATGTACACCGAGGGAGCGGCTGAAGGAGCTTACCAACCTGGCTGACATCGTTATTGCAGCTGCAGGTAAATATGACTTTGATATAAGTAATTACTGTCTTTACTCTTTCATTCTGACAGTAAATCTGAATGACTCAGGTTTTACGATATATTAGTCACCTTTTGGGCTGCAACTAACTGACTAACGTATTACTAATGATTGATTTCTATATCAATCATTTGTGCTATAAAATTTATAACAACACAAACATAGCTCAAGAAAAATCATTTATGTGAATTTTGGAACTGTTTTCTAATATGGAGACTGCAGCTGTGTCTCACTTCACAGGCCATCTCTTTCAGAGGGGGGGCGGCCTTCATGGGCCATTTAGACTGCGAAGGCCAAACAAAAATGAGATGGTTTCTTATTCTGAGGATTTTCTATCTGTATCACCAGCTTATTCCACCCTCATCGTAAGCTTCTTTAAACAGCTACACTTGCTGCAGCTCAGCAAACCAGATAGCTAGCTTGTTGGCTTTGTCACTGGCATGCAATGAATTCTGGGATAGGTTGGCCTGAGACTTCCGCTGCTCAGGAATAGAAAGTTACATTGTCAATTGAAGCAGCCTTGGATTTGGTACAGTGTTGTCGCACCACTGGGAGGTCATCAGTCTTCAAATGTAGCTTCTGAGGGAAGTGGCACCAGAGTTGATAAAACAGTTGCAGATTGATTTAAAGTTCCAGTGTGTAAGATTCAGGTGAAAAGATCTATTGGCAGAAATTGAATGTAGAATAATCCTCCTGATGTTTTCACTAGTTCGTTTCATCTAAATTTTATGAATTGTAGTTTTCTTTACCCCAGAAAAGACCCTTTATATTTAAATACTCCATATTTACATGGAGGGGACCCTCTCTACGGAGGCCGCCATGTTTTTTACTCTAGTCCAGACTGGACAAACTAAACACCTTTTGAGTTTTTATGACAATTAAAGTCTACCACAGGTTCTTTTTCATGTTTGTAAGGAAAGGGTGAGGTTGCAACATGCAATTTCAACACTAGATATTACAAAATTCTACACACTAACTTTAATGTTTGACTTAATAATTGTTGTAAATTCTTTGAACGATTTTGGTTTTCGTCACCAGAAATCTCCCTCAAAAACCTTTAGATTTTTTACATTAGCTAGTTTATTGAGACAGATTCAACTTTAATGAAGTCCCTCTACTTGTTATATTGTACTGAAGCGGCTCTTTCTTCAACTCCACACTCCTTAAACTCCTGTCAGATGCCTTTCCATCATGTTGAGCTGCACACACAAAAGGAGAGGGGGATTATGTGAACTGATAATGCAAGAAGGAGCAAAGATTGTGAAAGTGCTAACCAGCCCTTACTTGAAGTGATGTTATTGTAATCTCAATAATCAACTCTGAAATGTCAGGATATTTACTCGCTCTGCTCCATCTGTGGCCGAGGATTGTCGAACAATAGTGAACTGTTGCAGCTGGAATGTGAGGCCATCAATCAATTCAATATCCCTTTAAAAGCTCTTGAGTAACATAATGCCTAAAGGGGTGCCGTGTTGTCTGCCACGTCAAAGAAATTGAATTAAAGCCGGGACGAGCACTTCACTTCCTTGTCATCTAATTTTCTTACATGAAAGTTTTGTGTATAAGGAGTTGCACTTACACGGTACTGTATAATTACATGAACCTCCAGTAGTTTCAGTGTTTGTTAAAAATCCAGGGTGTGTTGTGGACTGAAATGTTGTGGAACCTGCAGTTGACGTGTCACTGTGATGTCTGTCTGCTATTTATCAGCTATTTTCTACCGTTAAACCTGTCCTTAATTGTTTTTTGGCTCAGATTCGATCCCATTGGTGAGCACCTTCAAAGTGCTGTGGTTGTTACAATAAATATATATTACTTAATTATTTCCTTCCCCGCAGACTCTCAGGTGAGGCGTCATCTTATTCTGCTCTGAAGCCCCAGGTGATAACTGGTAACTGCTACAGGAACCAGTTATTAAAGGAGACAAGTATCACTGCAGCTTTATGTTCAGACACACTGGTCTCATAAGTTAATATAATATCAGCTCTTTATTTTGATCTTTATATGGCTCATTTAAATTTGGATGGTGGTCTTAGGTGGATTTATTCAAGCTGGTTGTGATTGGCAGGTGAGTGACAGGTACATAGAGACGGCCCGGAAAAATGTACAGTGTTACATCAGAAAACCAGTCTTGTAATCCTCTAGGAATAATATTCCCATTTCCTGTCTCTGTAAACTCTTCCTTGTTGTAGGTGTTCCCAGACTGATCACAGCAGATATGGTGAAAGAGGGCGCAGCAGTCATCGACGTCGGCATAAATCGTATCCAAGACCCAAAGACGGGAAAACTCCGGCTCATTGGCGATGTGGACTTTGAGGGTGAATAAAAACACACTCCCTGTGATTATCTATGAACATATATATATGATTTGATCGACACACGCAGGTTTTTGGAAACTAACAGATAACAGAACTCCACCTAAGATCCAGACTCCCTCATGTGATGTTGTTGCACAGATATAAAAGGTGAATTCTGGTTCCTGGAGTAAAAAGCGTGTTGCTTAACTCCACATCATCTGTTGCAGGAGTGAAGGAGAAGGCAGGAATCATCACCCCTGTTCCCGGGGGTGTGGGTCCCATGACGGTCGCCATGCTGATGAAGAACACTGTGACTGCTGCTAGAAACGCACTGATGCATTAAACACAGAATAAAGCCATTCATTTTAATGAATGCTATATAATACAATATGTATATGCATACAGAGATGTATTACTTTTAGGTTTACACACTAACACACACACACACACACTCACACACTTTGCCAAACATCTAACACACTTTTATTTAAACCTCCATGAGCTCAAGACTTCATACCTGCTGGGAAACTTATTTGATATGTACTTTGTTTATATTGTGAATTTGTTCATTTATTTATTTAAGTTATTTATTTCAGAGTTCACTTTTTGTGACTTTAGATTCATATTTTTTCTACTGACTTCGTTTTGGTTAATTTTTGAACATTCCAGATTCACTGGAAAAGGAGTATTAAATAAAAAAAGACAATGCAGTGCAATTATTACAATCTCACGTTCTTTCTGTCAGCTGTTTAAAGATTAGGTTCACATTGTTTGAAGTTCATCCTAAAATCGTGGGCAGGTGTGTGTTTTTTTAGGATAAAAAAATGTGAATTGATGCCTGGACAAGTGCTTTCATCTTGCACTGATGACGTCTGCGGAGTCCCGATCATGGAGTGGAGCTGCGTGCCGTCGAGGTCCCACCAAAACACACTCGACCAATCCCGAGTCGGTCTCAGCTGTCAGTCATGACGTTTCACCACATTTGTTTTATTGCATTAAACAGCTCATCAGTGTGACAAAAACTTCCTAAAACGACAGAAAACCTCTTCAAGATAAATTATTTAGCATGTACTTTGACTTTATAGTTTAGTCCAAGCCCCATTCATTAACACGGAGGAGGTTGGGTTTGTATTCTGCACTGCAGCCAGCCACCAGGGAGCAATTAAGACTCTTTGGCTTTACTTTTGAAGGGCTGTCATGATGTCTATTATATACATTTCATCTATGGCGCTCTTTTTTGGTATTTGCCGTTCTGAGGCTTTCTCAACACCTGTAACCATCAATGAAGCAACCTCTCAAACCGGCAAAGGAGGCATTTTAGTGGAACTCAATCTGCCAGGGGCATGCGTGGGTTCAGAAACCTCCAAAGAAGAAACTACTCTCACAAAGCCTCTGGGTAATCACATGCCCCCACCACCACCACCAGCGTCAGCCCGTAGACATTGTCCCTACATGCTGGGAGCTGTCCTGAGTAAAGGATATGATGCAGATGGTTATTTGGAAGCAAATGCTTCTCATTTTTTAACAAGTCCTCTGTTGTTTCATTGGCTGTTTGAATCGTTTCCGCAGTTGGCAGCAGGATATATAAGCTCGGCACAAACCAGCTGTGGATCACACTGCTCGGTCTCGATCAGACATCACACCAACAGAAGACGAGATGTTTCCAATAAGACAGACCAACCTGGAGAGAGGTAAGCGTCAATGAAGGCACCATTTCTTTGTTTTATACTTGACTCTTGTCTGTGATTCCAGCAAAGCAATTGAAATGTGTTTTTGTGATGTAGCCCTTTTTATAAAAGTAGAAATAACTTATAAATTAAACCACATTGAAGGCAGAAAATACGTTTTGCGGCACAAGGGTGGACAAAATAAACTCTTACAAGATCTAATGAATAAAATTCCTATTTTCTGTCATTTGCCTCGCGTCCCTCAGTCGTCCTCTCAGCGGTGGCAGTGCTGCTCCTCCTGACCACAGCAGGACAAAGTGCGATTCTGACCGACGACCTCCAGACAACAGCAGCTTCTCTTCTTTCAAATACGACCACGCAGCTCAACGCCAGTGAGTGTCTTCAGTGGAGTGTTTTGGTCATTGTGAATTAAAATCAACAGACCAATGAAAATATATTCCTCGCTGAATTTTTGTTGTTTGTGTTTTGTATTCGACTTTTTTATTTTCAAATTGGTTTTACCATAGATTTTGGATTTTTGATACTTTTATCTAACTTGCGTTGCATTTTTTATTGTTTCGTAAACCTCTATCTATACTTTTACATAGTTAATGCTTTGACTTTATTTAATCATTTGTAATTTATTTTATGTCTATAAAGCACTTTAACCTGCACTGTATGAAAGGTGCTACATAGAAAAACTATTATTATAATTATTGTTATTTGTACTATTAATTTCCTGTGGCAGTTAATTGCCTTGTGGCACAGGCTCTCCACAATGTTGTGTTACAAAGTGATGATTGATTATGATGCAACTCTTCCTGTGTGCAGGTGTCGTGGAGTATCCACGGGTTCTGCGATCATTCAGATCATGTGACAGCAAAGATGAAAAATACTGTGGGAACGGCGGCGAGTGCATATACCCCCAAGACAGTAACGAACCCTCTTGCATGTAAGATGAATAAAATTACACACATATACACACACGTCTATGCTGTAGAGGTGCAGTGTGTGTCGTGAATATGTTTTTAGTTGTTGTCATTAAAAAACTGTGCCCTCACATGTTGGTTCGTGTTCACCTGTGGAATGCACTCACATACCTCTCTGTCTGGTTTACAGCTGCAAGTCCTCATATAGCGGCGCTCGCTGCCTCTTCTTCAGCGAAATCGTTTATACTCTGCCTGAGTTAGAGCGGCTGATCGGCATCAGCTTTGGGGTCGTCATGCTCCTCTTGATCATGGCCATCATGATTTACTGCTTTATCAACAGGAGGTGAGAATCTACTGTGTGTGTTTTTGTTATCGAGGTATTTAAATATAGAAATTAAACCACAAAAATGTTGATCTAATGTTGATCTAATACCTGTTACAAACTGACAACTTTGTAATTTGGTAACAAACATTTCCCTGATTCCCTTTAATTGAAAACAACATTTGTCTGGGTTTTATTTATACATCGAACACAATTATACATTTCCATTGTTTTCACATTTGTGCATTTGTTGAGCAGATCAGTTCACAGCTGAATGCTACTTCTCAAAAACGTCTTGAAGCTCTAATACAGATGTTTGTTTGTTTTCTCCAGGTGTATGAAATCTGCACCACTGATAAAATCTGCACCCTCTGAAACATCAGTGTGACTGTTGACACTCCCTGTTCCTCCTCCTCCTCCTCATCTTCATCACTGCTACCACCATCGTCAACGCTGACACACAAAGCACTCGAGATTCTCTAAAAGCTTTTTGTGTTTTATTTGACAAACATAAAGAAAACCACTATTTATTTTCACACAATCGTTCAAACCAGCAGATGCATTGACATGAAGAGGTCCAGATGACGTCAAACAATGTCGGTGACGTCAGACATGGTTCGGCCTTTTTCGTTTTACAAACAGGGTCAGATATCAATCATTTTTTTGTCCTTTAAAAACAGAGGAGAAATTATGTTAATTTATTGTAATATAGAATTTAACTTATTGAACGTAGTGTTTATTTAAATGGTTGTCATAGATTTACGGAAATTAATATTTATATGTTGCTTGAGTGACTTTAGTTAAAAAGGTGAATCAACACAAACGCACATTATCAGAAACTTATCGATGAAGTTTCTTCATTCATCATTGTTCTCAAACCAGGAGCCTTGCAACAGGAAATCACTTGTAAAATTGAATATTAATGTCTCTAATGTAACACAGGTTGCATGTCAGTGAACATGAACTGAATAAATAAACATGGGAACAAATGGCAAAGGTGCTCTCTGTTAATCATGAAGTGTTTGAATGAATATTCTGTTGTGTGCACAAGTCTACATAGTGATCATTAAAAACAATACAGAGGAAATTAAAACACAGTCCCTTATCATGTATCATTCTTCTGAAAATACAATTAAAGAAATATTACAGGTTAGCTCAGAATTAACCAGGTTATATAGTGTCTATCTGCTCTGGTACTAAAAACTATCCCTGGAATAATCTGAGTTTCCATCAGCACGATGTGACGACGGAGACAGAAACAGCCCCTCCTTGAATTTTTGTGTTGCCTGCAGGTTTTGTGTTTTCGTTTGTCTTTGAAGAGTGAAATTGTCCAAACCACAGGAGTGTGCCACCACACCCACACCGCAGAAGAGCTCATTGGTTTTTTAAAAAATCTTTCTGTATCTGCCAGCTTGTATCTGCCTCTTCTACCTAAAAGTGTTAAATTACTAAATGGTCTGAAGCGTCTCTAACCCAAACTGGCTCTCAGTGTACCTGAACGCAGCACTGAGCCTCCTCCTGTCACAGACCTGTGTGTTCAGAATCATTGGGAACAGTAAAACATCGGTAAGTTGTGTTTTTAACGTTTACCTGAGAGAAGTCAGGGTCACAGGTTTAGTTTGACTCTGCTGTGATTAGACTTGGTCAGTTAAATACATACTAAAGCCACTGA